GTGTGTGTGTGTGTGTGTGTGTTTGTGTGTTTGTGTGCTCAGGTTGTGGAGGCCAAGAGGAAAACAGCTCCCACAAAAGGGAGGGATTGTCAAGAGCTTCTCAGGATCTCATGGTTCCTAGTTTCAGATGCCAACCATCCTGGTGAGGTTCCAGTCTTGCCCTAGAAGGTCAGAACACACACTTACCCATTGGACTCACCCTGTCTTGGCCGTTCCCTACCCCTCTAGGGGCCTCAGTTTTCCAATTTTCCAGTGAGAGATTCAATTCAGGACTGCATAGGCATGAGCTCAGAAGAGAGGTGGCCACCACTCCCTCCACCCTAGGTGTGATGTGGGCAGAGCTACAGTCAAGGGTGCCCCTGACCTGGGCTCCTCCTCAAACAAGAACTGACCAAATGCCCGTCTACGCTGCCGAATACTCCCCCTCACCACTACGCCATCTCCAGATCTGTATGCACTTCCACCAACACAGCCTTCTCCAGAGCCCCCGGGGAATGCCTGTGTGCAGCCAGAGCCCCAGCCTTGAGGACGCAGAGCTGGCTTCCTCCCTGGCTCCACCTTCTTCGTCATCTGGGATTCTGGGCAAGGCATTGAAGTTCTGGGGTCTTCTCCTTCTCCCCTCACTGGCCACCCGGGATCAGGACTTCCTGGTCTAGACCTCCTGGTGTAACCCCCTCCTCTTGAGTGGGGACTCAGTTGAGCGATTCCACAGAGGATGGCAAAGCGATGCCATGTCACTACTGAGATTTGGATGTGGTCAGTGGCCACTTTCGTGTTTCCTCTGACCAGATGGCCTCTCCCTGTGTCATGGGACTGGGAAGAGGGGGCACCCTCGTCTTATTCCTGATCTTGGAGGGAGAGCTGGTATCCTTTCAGCATTGTGCATGATGGTAGCTGTGGGCTGGTCACAGGTGGCTCTTAGTCTGTGGAGGTATGTTCTTTCTAGGCTCAATTTGTTGAGTGTTTATGATCAAAACATGTGTACTCTGAGAAATGCTGATTCTGCTTCAATGGAGAAGAGCATGTGACTCTTACCTTTTCATCCTATGAATGTGGTGCCTGTCATTTACTGACCGAACCATCCTCCCATCCCAGCGATAAATGCCGCTTGACCATGGTGGAGGACGTTTGTGCTGTTAGTAGCGTTTGGCTGAGGGGGACTGGGTGGGCCCTTCTCTGCTCCATGGGTCGCTGCCTGGTCCTCCGAGGGCCTCCCTTCCGTCCTGTCTACCTCCCTCCTTCAGACATCACGTCCAGTGTCTCGGGACTCTCTCCTTTCCCAAACAAGGCTCCAACTGCATCAACAAAGCGTAGATATTCGAAAAGGCAGCTGACACCTAAAGAGAGTGTCTAAACTGCCTCCACGAAACTCTGTATCAAGGCATCACTTCTAAAGACAAATCGAGATGCGTGGACACAGACAGACACTACGGGACAATTATGAGAGTGAAGAAGGGTCCAATTGTTCACCCCTGGGTTGCCTCGGTGGGTGTGCTGTGTGGCCGCTGAGAACGCGCAAGGGGATAGGTGTGACTACTCATAGCCCACTGTGGGGCATCAGGTACCACGAAGGAACAGCCCCAGGCTCCTTCCCGCAACAAACCCTCAAACACCCACACACCCACACCCCCGTCACACACACACACACACACACACACACT